GTATTTAACAAGTTTGGTTTGTATATTGGAAAGTTGAAGCTGATGATTAGGCAATCTTGGTACATCCTGCCCCTGTTTGTATATCAAATTAACCACTCCAGGAATAATTCATCCAATTTCATTCTCAACTTAAATTCCGTCTGTCAAAAAAAAATCTTCCGAAACTGGTATCCAGACACTGAGATCTCCTCCCATCCTTGAGAGGTTATCCTGAATTCCTGTCTGGATGAATTTGTCTTACCCCATTAAGATCCTTGGATCCCTTTAACAGATACTTCCCCTGCACTGACTTCTCTGCTCTTCCTCTGAAAAGGTCATCACTTGTGTGCTGGTTGCACATGTACATATACACCCACAAGCACCCACATCCACACACTATAATTGGAAGGAGTGGAGGCAGTGAAGCATCTCCTGTCCCTTGTCCTAATGGAGACACTTGTATGGAAACGAACGATATCTCTCTTTGCGCATCATCAGCTGTGAAGGGTATTGCCCCTGACAGTCTCTAATCATATTGTCTGCTGACAGCCAGAAGGGCAATAACTCTTGATGTAAAAGTATTCAAGTTTTTGCCTTTAATTTTCTAGGTCTCTTTAAACAGTTTACTTTGAATGGTTTAAATAAAACATGATATTTGTAGTTAACAACTAGAGGGTGTGTACTCTTCATAATGATGGAGACTATTCTAATGAAACATCTCACAGAAAATTCTTAGTGTGAAAAGGGCACTAATCCTCATGTCTCTGATCATATATACTCCACAGATTTACTTGAGTTTTTAAACAGATTTTACAATGGGGGAGGGGAGTAAAGAACTGAATATTCCTTGTCATAACAGAGACAAGTCTGTATATATACATTATATCTCTCTGCACATCATCAGCTTGGACAGGGCATTGCCCTCCCCCTCAAAGTCTGTAATCATACTCAAGAGGTTTACTTCATCAACTAAAATAGTTAACAAAAAGGGAGGCGATGAATACAGTCCATCCGCATTGCTTGATAATTTGCTATTTATTCACTACATATGCATGAGCGGTTGATGCTTGAATACATAATAGACCTGTCCTCATCAGACAGAAGTTGCAAAATAACCTGCTATTTTCAGACTCGGGATATTTTCCCGAAGCTCAAAATTGCGTCTTCACCAGACCAATACGCTCATCACAAACTAGCTCTGATGGACGCAAATTAGCCCGCTATTTCCAAAATAATGGGCTATTCAACCAAATAGCCCGCTAATTGCAACTGCGGGCTGATCAGCCTAGTTAAAGTAGCGGGTTATTTTGCAACTTCGGTCTGATTGGGACAGGCTGAATGAGCGATGCATGGGATGTTTCTTTTTACCTCCAGTAAAGATACAAGTGAATATTTCAAAATTCCTACAAACTAAAATTTGTAAAAGAAGTTTAGGAAACTAAAAACATTAAACACCTACACTTTGATATCTTGAAACAAAGAGCAGTTTTTTGTTGCAGTTCCATTACATAGCCATTACAATACAATTCAAATAAGTTTTCTTGTCGTAAAGGAGCAAAATATCAAAAACATAATTTTAAAAGTATTTTGCTTTGTAACAGGTTTATTTCTTATAAAGCCATCATGGTAAAAGCATTTGACCTCCACCCTCTCTGTACCTCCATTTTACACCTTGCTGTATGAACGTTTTAAAGTCTCTACACAGCGAAGTTATTAAAAAAAAAGCCATCACCTGTATCCCATGATAAACTTAATCCCTTCCTTAATGAATCAATTTGAGGTATTTCCTCTCCATGGATTTGGAATGCCACATTCAATTATCACCTACATGTTGAGTTTACAGTAACAAAATACAATCCCACACTTTGAAAGTCATGTCATGTATTCATGTTTTATATTCATGCAGATGTGTGCTGGTATTGATGGTAAAAACAGAATTTAGTATATCATGTCAGTCGAAATCAAATTTCGTCAATTTCTTTTTGGATCCTTAATACAGTTCTACCAAGATTACAAACACATATGACAAAATAAGATTCAAACATGATGCATATTAAAAATCAAGGTTTGCTGTTCATCTATATAAAAACATTGTTCAATACTACAGACTTTACAACTGATTAATCCTTAGTCCGAAGGTATCATATACAATCTCAAGAGTGTGGGCGGTTAGAATCGGTTAGGATACCTTGAATAGGTAGTAATGGACACTTACAAGTGGCAATCTCAGGTAACTACTGTTGGAAGGAAAGCCAGCAAACTTTTGTCCGTGATTCTGAAAACATGCTAACAACTAGGGTTCATATATCACCAATTAAAACCAAATATCCATTCAGTTTCCTCTGTCAATTGGTTGAAACTATTGTATAGTGCTTTATAACCTCTCAAGCACTTCTCTAGAAAGTCAAACTACTGTCCTGGGGGGTGTTTCACAAAACTTGTCATCAGTGAGAAATGGCAGTTTTTGTTATAAGCTACTGAAATCCTTGCTTCTGATTGGTTATCAGCAGACTTGTCACTGATTTTTGTCATTTGTCATTGAAAAAAGGCTTTGTGAAATGGGTCCCTGGTATTTTACACCAAATTATAAGATATATTTTATAAAATCTTGATCATAATCTCATAGTAGTGTTCTGATTAGACTTGCCTTACTCTGACACATTTTATATTTTAATGTTTTGCACATTGCGGAGATTGTGAATGGAAAATCAAATTACAGAGCATAGTCGTAACTTGATTAGAGTTGATCACTCTGCTTACTGCGTAATTCCAACGTGTTGATCTCACCACAATGCTCACTTTATACCAAAATGTGGCAAGTATTATGGAGGCTCTAAAGGAGAATTAAATCATTGACACTGAACTTCCACTCATCTCTGACATTATGTGGTTTAATTCATAGAAGAGCTTTCCAATGCTAGATTACAGGCAACCCAATCAACATGTATGTAAATGCGACACGTAGGCAGACATGTTTGTCTTTCATTAAGAGTATGTCAGATTAATTCATGACACGGTTCACAAAAGACAAATGAATTTTTTGATCAGTTGTTAAAAAAACAAATATTATTAACAGAGCTCTTATTACAACATTAAGCCTTATTTTGGAAATCAAGCTGAATTCAAATGTGTAGATATTCAATATATTTTAATACCCCTTTTGAACATCTTTCGTCAAATACTCGAACAATTAGAGCATTAATAACAATGTAAAATTAATATCAATAACTCAAATATTCTTTAAGATTACACAATTCCAGTGACAGAGTGTTCAGATAAATACCCCAACATTTCTCCAGATATTTCCTTGACATGCAATTGTTTCTATTTGATACATGAATTATATGGAAATTACAGTTCAACATGTTTTGCTAGTGTTATCAATGAATACTTGCAAGTGCCAACAAGATGAAATAAGGATTGCATCATTCATACATGTAGTTCAATATCTTTAAGGAAAAGCAGAGGATTTCCTGACAGTCATTTAATCGTATCCATCATTGAAGTGAGAGAGAGATAAGAACATCAAGGTCAACAAACGTAATAATTGAATTATCGGGATGAACCCATATTATACTTGAACTTGAGATGAACACTATCTAGGTAATACTCACATGAGACGTTAGGGGATTTCACAGTAGGAATGTGAAAGGAATGATTGACTGAAAGACTGATTGACTTTGAGTGATTAGCTGCAGATACATTAGAAATTAATTTGAGGTCTACTTGTACAGATTATTATTTAGTTTAAAGAAATTGTTTGACTTATTAATTGTACTACCCTTCTCCCCTCCCCCCCCCCCCCAAAAAAAAAACACACCCCAATTCCCTCTCTGTCTATTTCTCTCTGTCACAGAGATCCCAAATCCCACAAACTAACAAATAATTAAAATGATACTTATAACAAGATCTGTGTTTAGAAGACCCTACTATAAAACTTTTTAACTGAAATAAGAAAACAATTGAATTATTTATTATCAAATATATCTTTGTGTGCTTTAAAAACAATATTGAAAAATCTATTATCTGTTGTGTTTACCTGATTTTGTATCTCCTCATTTTCTAAGTGCATTTCATATCTAGGCAAATGGTGGAGAGAAAACAAATCAAAAATAGTGTTTTTTGTAACTATGTATTTGTCTTCACATCCCAAATATTTTGATGGATATCTCACTGTAACTATTACTTTTAATGATAAGTACATAAAGTTGATGTTATCAATTAGGTGGAACTGGGCCTAAGATTTTTAAGTATTTAAGTAGTCAATTGCGGTAACTTCCTCCACCTTAACTCATCGACTATGAAAACTGTACTATGCTAGCAATGACAATACATTTTATTAGGTGAACACAAGTTGACCACACCTGTTGATTTACTGAAACACTTGACTTTCTTCTGATCACGTTAAGTGTTTCAGTGATTTAATGAACAAACACAAATATAGCACCTCCTAAAGTAGAGGTGCATTCTTTTCCCATTTCATCATCATGCATTCGTGCCAATAAATCAACACGATTTCAATCTCATATCCATAGAGATTTTTTAAATACTATTTTCTGCCAAGCTTGAGCTCTTATCGGTTGACAAATAGCCTCCGGAAAGGTCATTCCAATTCTCTTCACCATCTCCTTTCTTTCCGGTCAGGAAAAGAAGCACTTACTGGTTCTTAATTTAGCCTTCCAATTGAACTTGTCATTTGGCAATGTTGTCTCAAGGCCCCTGAAGCTCAGTCACCTCATCAGTGAAGTTTAAAAAGTACAAGTTCTTGTTCTTTTTATAATCCCTGTCTAATTCTTTGTACAACTCTTTTGGCTGATTCAATGATTGTATTACTGCTAAGTATACATTAAATTCCATTGGTTTCCATAACCCTTAAACTAATTCTAAATAACCTCTATGCTGTATTTTTTAAACAGTTGAATCACATTTCCCACTCATGGAATATCTTAGAAAAAAGTGAAGAGGTGAAATTTATTCACATTCATTCAAAAATTCTACTGTTTCTTTTTATCTCCTTCCAGGAGCTTGGACACTGAAGGAGAAATAATCAACAAGCCACAGGAAATGATAGCAACCATTGACAGTACAACTCCACCTGTCTAGAAACCGGGTGCAAGAAGTTCACCACAGATCTGTACAACATCAATTTATGAGGACTTACCAGTGATGATCTACATGATCTACATGAAAACACCATGAATGGGATCAGTTTGAATATACTGCTTGCAGCTAGCATCATTGCTAGTCTTCTCAGCTCTGTCCTTTGCCAGGGCTGGAGACCAGCTTGTCCTAAGCCATGTCGCTGCTCCTTAGATCGTAGCCCTCAACAGACCTACAGCCTTGGACCAGGAGCCTATAGGCAGGTTGACTGCCGCTATGGCAACCTGTTTAATGTACCCCCAAACCTTCCACCAGATACTCAAGTGTTACTTCTCTCAAACAATTTCATCAACGCTATCACTCCTTTAGAGTTGGAGCAGGTTCCTAACCTGAAAAAGCTGGACCTGTCTCACAATTACATTACAGAAATTGCACCGGACACTTTCAAATTCAATGCTGATTTGAAGATGCTGAATCTGGGATGGAACCAGATTGTTACTATAGCTAATACTGCATTTGATGGACTGAGCACCCTCTCCAGACTCCTGCTATCATCTAACCAGCTTGTTGATGTTCCGAATGCTATTCAGAATTTGATATCTTTGGTACTACTGGAGCTCTCTCGCAACCAGATTGTGACAGTAAATCAGAATTCCTTTGCAGGACTTGGACAACTGCAATTCTTAAATCTACGAAGCAACCAACTAGAAAGTGTTGCTCCGCTCACTTTCAATGAATTAACATCGCTGGTCAATCTTCATCTGACAGCAAACAAGTTGAAGGTCTTGCCTCCTAATGTGTTTAGGAACTTGAACAACTTGGCTGATATCTCACTCGGTATGAATGACCTTGAACAGATTCCAGCATACATCTTTTATGGACTTAGATCACTCAGACACATTGACCTTCATAACAACAAGCTGACTCAGCTACCGTCCACTCTCTTCCAAGGAATGGCAGCACTGCAGGAGATTGACCTCAATGGTAACAATATCTTGAGTGTTCCTCCAACCCTTTTCAGAGGCCTTGTTAATCTCCGGTCCTTTGAATTCACTGGAAATGACCTCCTTCAACCCTTACCTGTAAGCCTCTTCAATGGTCTCCAATCTCTAGAGAGTATAGATTTCCACCTGGTGCAGAATATTCCACCAGCTCTCTTCAGATATGTACCCCAGCTCACCAGTTTGGAGATCACAGAAAGTGATATGCCTGTCCTGTCAGATCAAATATTCCAAAACTTGCCTAATTTACAAACCCTTATTCTACGAGATAATGGCATAGGAATTATTCCACCAGGTACGCTCAATAGACTATCAAATTTAAGAACTTTAGATTTGTCAGCCAACGCACTTACATCCCTGAACGAAACAACATTTGGTGCCATTTACACTGTTAAGGAATTGTTCCTGCAGGATAACCTGATCAATTCGGTATCACGTGGAGCATTCAGCAGTATGACTCAACTCCAGACCCTGAGGCTTGACATTAATTTTCTGAAAGAGTTACGAGCTGATGCGATGCCAGAAAATGCTGCCTTAAAAACACTGCAGTTAGCTGATAATCCGCTGGAGCGTGTTGATGGTGCAATGTTTTCCAGACTTCCTAATTTGTCTCATATGACAATGGATAGCAGAAGATTAATCTGTGATTGTCACATGTCAGAATTCGCAAGGTGGATGCAGAGAAATCGAAACAAGATTGACACGAGTGAACTTGTGTGTGGGACACCATTTGGGGTCAGGAACAGACCTCTCTTGAATATGATTTCAAATCCTCGCAATCCATTCCGTTGCGCATTTCCGGCTATTACCACATTACCTAAGACACAAAGAAAAACAGTGTCCACTGGTGCAACGTTCATTCTTCCTTGCACGTTGACTGCTCAAGCTGCTGCAAGGACCAGATGGCAACTTCCAAATCGTCCGGGTCTTTCAGTCCCATCTTACCGGCAGCAGGCCACTTATGATCCTATCGGCCATTTGAAAGTCAACGGTGACGGGTCCCTCGTGGTATACAATGCAAGTGCTGAGGACAGTGGGCTGTATCATTGTAACACAAGGAATTCTATGGGCTCTGACAACATCACTTACGCTGTGGCTGTTCTTGCACCAAACGCTCCAACAGCGCCCGGTATTCTGCCAAAAATTCCTCCTGTAGAATCTACAGCACAAGGAGACACAACATTCTCGATTCCAAAGCCCCATCAACCCACCCGAGGCATGCCACCTACTAGGAGAACCTACTTTGAACCAGCTCAACCAACTATGGCTCCCCAAAGAAATGATACTGGAAATGTTCGTCCTGCAATTGGGGCGACAGTTAAAGCAATGGGTCCCGGTCAAGGAGCATCAAAAACCACACTTAACCCATTGACCCTCGATCCACGAACAGGAGAGCCTAAGATGGCTGACAGAACTTTGGTTCCAACATTTGCATCATGGACAACAAAACCTGCAGGGGAAATAATCCCATGGGGAACTGCAATGCCTCCACTCTTTGAAGGCTCTACTGATACACCTTTAGGAACAATTGTACCTAATTTGCAATGTATTCCAAATCCCTGTCGGAATGGAGGCACATGCAACAGGGTACCAAATGAAAGCAGGGAATCAGAAAGTGAAAACATGAGTTCTGAAAAGTCACTGTTTGCTGTCTTTAATGATGCATTTCGATCACGAAAGCCACGGTCTGCAGAGAAAACAATGAGAAAATCATTACCTCCGAGCAGGCAAATTCGCTGCACATGTCCCAAAAAGTATGGAGGATCTTTATGCCAAATCCTCAAGCCAGGTAACCCCACCAAGGTAGCTGTTGTGGAATCCACTAATGATTTGATTACTCTGAGTTGGTCACAAGCCGTCAAGGGTGAAATCGCTGGTTACAGAGTGTTCTACAGCCTTGTTGGGGATCGCACAGTAGTGAAGAGTATTCCGATTCATCCAGATGTCAACCTCTTCTCTATGGGCAAACTAAAGAAGGATTCCACATACCGCATCTGTGTGATTGCATTCAATCAAGGGGGTGAAAGCTCTATTGGAGAGGAAAACTGCATCTGGGCGGAAACAGTAACACAAAATAGGAACCCTAATCCAATATTTAGCACCCAGTTCATCGCTATAGCAGCTGGTATTATCTCCTTGTTTGCTGTAGTCCTGTTTAGTGCTTACTGTTATCTGCGGACAAAGAAAAAGCGAGACAACTTTGAAGAAGCTGTTGTTGTACAAAGGCCCGCACAGCAACGACCTGCATCAGCTGCTGCAGAAGTGTTCAGAAGAAGCCTTCGAAGGCCAATGGCTTCATACTATTCCAACATGGATGATTTAATGCTCATAGACATGAACCAACAAACAAACAGGCAAATGTACATGAATCCATTTGATGCGCGGCATTCTGCTATGCTACACGACATGGAGTCTCGAAGACCAACACAGAGTCAGAACGCTCCCAAAATTTTTACAAAACCAAATCAAAGACGAACTCTCCGTATTCAAGAGGATACTGTCTTATGATGAGCAGACAAGTCACAGTCTTATGCATCTTTTTTCACAAAAGAACAAATGAACTTTTTCCTAATATTCATGCATTTATACATGTTTGTGTCTACATGTAAGAATGACTTAAGTTATTTTCCCTTTTCTCAAGAATTCTTTCAAAGCTAATATACTAATACCAGTGCTGTTGTTTAACAAGAGCACATACACGTATTACTCCAAACAAAATGTACTGACATGGAATCACTATGGAAATCAAATTTTGAATAGATCACATGGGAAAATGACAGTGGAAATAACAATGCTGAAATTTGTTAATACAAAAAGAGACCTGCCGGGTGATCAAACATGTTTTAAAGCGAAATGGTGGCCTTCTGAATTGTGAAAAGTGAATTTACAAATGAAAAAGTTAAAACAATTGTACCAATATCTTTTGCATATTATCATGCGTAGCTTGGTTCCCTTTAGTTTATGTGCCTACTATATGGGGATGCATTTGGTATTTACATCACAGAGATTTGAAAGCTATTGGTAACTTTTTTGTGTGATTTCAAATGAGACCTATACCCTTTTTTTTTAAACATGGGCCAAATACATACTATTGAGAATACCGAACATGCCTTTGTATGCCTTGTATTTGACTTACAAAACCCATTGATTAATACTGTTAGCAATATTGCTATAATATGTCAACTAAAACGAAGTGAGGTAAAGGTTAAAAGTATATGCATAGTTTATTGTTCTCATTTTTACAAGGATGGGAACAGACTTAAAAGTCACCCTGGTATGGCAAAACAATCAGTGTTAGTCCAAGGCAGTGACAAGATATACCAGATACACGATACAGGAGATAATGGGATAAAGATGGATACATAATGTCAAGAGTAATGAGTTTTGAACATGATTGTGGCTCTGCCAAAACATGGATGCCTTAAAATAACTTGCCTGACTCAACATTTGGCCGGGGTGCACATCCTGAGGAGGGGTGAGTGAAGACTCCCCCGAAACCGCAGCTTTCCGAGGGTTTCCCCCCTCTTCTTCCTGTGTATACATGGATCACTGCAGACTTACCTGGGCTCTACAAGTCCTCCTTGCTTTCCTCTCAGGAAACGAAACATATCTGAAGGGAGACTGACTCGTCGCAAGAAAGGGTTCAAGAACGGGCTGATAGAACAAGTCTTGGGATATAGACCACAATAGCAAGTTCAGCGACCAATTGTATCACTTCCACAATTACTACTCACCATTCTTATTAGCCCTCCTCCATTTCCCACTCCTCCTATTAGCCTCTATTTATCCCCATCTTCTTCAGACTCCTCCCACTAAAAAATTGTTCTCATTTTATATCCTTCATATTTGCTTTTAGTATATCATCTGTTTAGAGCCAGAAGGGAGTTAACTCTGTGACAAAGTATGTGAGTTAACACCCTTCTGGCTCCAAACAGACGATATGTACAACTAAAACAACAGCAACTTCTATAACTACTACTACTACTACTATAGATTGCTTCAGAAGTTTCTAATGCTATAAACATTGCTATAAATTGTACAATTAACATCAATTCTTCTGATCCTTTTCTACACTTTCAATCATAGCTAGTAGCTAATGATACATCCTTGTTAGGTAAATTAGACAACTAAAACAACAGCAACTTCTATAACTACCACTACTACTATAGATTGCTTCAGAAGTTTCTAATGCTATAAACATTGCTATAAATTGTACAATTAACATCAATTCTTCTGATCCTTTTCTACACTTTCAATCATAGCTAGTAGCTAATGATACATCCTTGTTAGGTAAATTAGACAACTAAAACAACAGCAACTTCTATAACTACTACTACTACTATAGATTGCTTCAGAAGTTTCTAATGCTATAAACATTGCTATAAATTGTACAATTAACATCAATTCTTCTGATCCTTTTCTACATTTTCAATCATAGCTAGTAGCTAATGATACATCCTTGTTAGGTAAATTAGACTTTGGTCATGTGATTCAACAATCTTCTGCAGATTAACTGTAAACTTTTACAAGTTTACAAACAGGTATACCGGTATTTAAAATTTTAAAGAGGCATTTTTAAATATTGACAAATTGTTCTCCAATTTTCAGCATGCTAGAACTACATGATGTCAAACATGGGACTTCTTTCAATATTGTTTAATCAAAGACATATGACCAAAACACATGTGAGCTTTGACATACTAATCTGCATTCTTACATGTAGACTAATTTGAAGTTTGAATGTCAATGCTCTGATAGATGAACTGTACAATATATTTCAAGAAGACATATTTCTTTGCTTCTCTCATACAACCATGAAAGTCTCAAAGAAGATTACCTGATTGATGATAGATAAGTAAATGACCATTTCCTTGGCAATCTATAAAAACTTCAAGATGCTTATATTTTGCAACAAAATATGCATTTTTGATATATTAATTTTATCCCGACTAGAAGAAAAGCTGATAATAGGATCAGTGCAAAGACAGAAGGTCTATTGATTATGCCGTCTTCAGATGCAAAGTATCCAAACTTTTGTTAAAGTCTCACATATTCTTTTCAGTTTTATCTGATCAAGGGAGCAAAGTTTAGAACAGGAAAAGCTAAACTTCCTCTGTATCATATTAACTGAAATACAATTAAAAACACGAGGGGCTGGGGCCTTTATCTCTATCTTACATCATATCAATCCTCTGCTTAAAGTTTATTCTTTTGACAGCCATAACAGATCTTGGGTCTATAGAATATTGAAGACTTGTCAAAAATTACGTTATCGTTTGAATGGTTTAGTAAAGGTTGCATAATTTTCTATATGAGAGAATTCCAGTACAAGAGGTTCCTCAATCTAAAAACTCAATACAACTAATCTCTGTCAGAACATTAAATTTCTGTAACTGCACATTTATGTCACAATCTGAAAACCTTAGAGGGTTTTGTTCAAAATCAAGAATTTTGCCTACTAGACCCGAGTGGTTCCTGCATTAAGTATATGGGAAGGAGAGGAATTCAATAGCCAACAAGTACCCTGTGGTTCATAGAGTTGTCACTTTTTCCCATACAGTATATGCTTAAGAGTGATGTCGAATGATCATTGTGAATATCAAATGAACACAATTATTGTCAAGCCAAACCTTGAACAACTGTTGCAATTTGGCAAAATGCCTCAATACAAGATTCAATATTCATATTCACAGCTCAGTCTTTTCTTTAATTTCCCCCATTCTTGAACAAAAGAGCGAGAGTGACTATGTGTCACAGGCCGTGTTGGGAACACCAAGTATATTTAGACTGGCTTAACCAACAGTTGACATGTCTGAAGTTGGGGAACAGGATGTGAAGGAACTTTCAAAGTTTTCAAGAAGTGCTCAAGAGCTGATCAACCGACTATTCCAAGGATGCACAGATTTCAAATAAATGATAGAATAATCAGCAAAGTGGTATGAATACTTCGTACAATGAGAGCTTCTGCAATTTTCAAGAGTGCAACTGCAATTTTCAATTTCCTGTATTTCCTCAAGGAATGCTAATAACATATTTTGTTCTTATGCTTGATAATCGAGTATCCATATAGTAATGACATTTGAATGATGATACCATCACTCTACAACTCTGTTACTTTGAGTTTTGAGTTCATTACTACAGATAGATGAACAAGTTATTTCATCTGTTGATAGCCAAAAGCATATTAACTCTGCAAAAGCATAATAAGGGAACACCCTTTTGGCTCTAAGCAGATCAAATATTCTACTGTTGGTACACTGACAAGGGCAAAATGCATGGTCTCTCATTACCTTCATGACATCCCTAATATATCATACCCCTACATATCTATTAAATGAGGTTATCATAAAATAAGAATCAGCCAGAAATTTCAGACTTAACCCATGTGATAGAGCTTACTCCCACTTCATAGCTCAACTCTAATCTTGAATACAAATGAAGAAATTGGAGATCCCCTTAAACAACCTGTTGCAGTGGCATTTGCACAAATGAGGCCCATAAGCCATCTTGCCAACATCAAATTTCCTTATAGATATTTTTAACTGCTTGGGAAGTTACAGTAGATCTATGTTGACATTGGACATAAATAAGGGGGTAATTATTGTCTTGGCAACGAGGCACTGGTGTTCAAAACTATTAAAGCTTTGGTCCAACGAAGGGAAATAATTCATATATAGAACACAAAATAAAGCCTTTTCAAGACTAAAATGAGTTCTGGAATTAGATAAAGCAAATTCATAGCTAAGTTGGATTCTACCAAATGTTTTTTTTTCTTTTTCTTGGTATTTCTCAAGTCCCTCCTTTTCCTTGGATTAGAGCTGATTATCCTATATCAGAACTACTTTTCATATTCATTTTCTTTCTCATATTCTCAAAATGATGTAGTATAAAGATGAAGAAACAAAGAAAAAAGAACAGAGGTAGGTTAAGAAATTATTACTCCAGCAAAAAATAAGTCAGAAACGGATAAATTTGAATTTGGTAAAAAAAGAAAAATATGACAATGACTTAGTCACTAAAAAGTCAAGCAATCCAACGTAGACACAAATGACCATTTGAAATTGAATTTGATTGATATAAATTTGTTATATCCTCATGTTTGTAAATAATATGAAGCATGTATACATTGCTATAAAATTGATGAACATACATGTATAAATACACATACATGTATGATCTGATATACATGTACCGATATATGTATTCCAACATAGTTTATATAATAAAGGTGGATATTGGCATATGTATTGAATATTTTTGTACCTAAAGCACAATGTAAATAAAGATCACATTTATCTTGGATTAACAAGGTGACATGCTGTTCGAAGCTTCTGTATGTAAATATTGTAATGTAAAGATACTAAGTAATACTATACTCCATTGTCATTGTACATTGCATTTGTAACTGTTTGGCATCGTTCACTGCCATTTTCTTCATGCTGGCATATTTTGATTAAATAAAGATTGTATTAAAATACACAGATCCATCTTGTTATTGTGTTTTTTCTTTCTTATATTGATACATCCAGTGGTTAAGTATGGGTCCTGATCTGACATTGAGGGGGTAACAGCATCATGGATTGGGAGAGAGGAGGAGGGGGGGGGGGGGGTGCACTCACCCTACTCGGTGGATGAAATGCCAATTAAGAAGGCTGCCCGTTAGGGGGATGTGCGAGAGGAGATTGTAGCACTTTCTTCTGATGTTCCCTTTCCCCCTCTCCTCTTTCTTTTCCTCTCTCTCTCTCTCTCTCTCTCTCTCTCTCTCTCTCTCTTTCTTTCTTTCTTTCTTTCTTTCTTTTTCTCTCTCTGTCTCTCTCTCTCTCTCTCTCTCTCTTTCTCTCTCTCTCCCTCCCTCTCTCTATGACCCTTCCTCTATGGCTAAGACACAAAGTACATTACATATAAAATTGTCACTGAAATTCTCCAGTTTTAACAAAATAAAATTGGAATTATCGTTTTTCAAAAATTTCCTTCAAGAAGTGCAGCAGGAAACAGAAAAAATACAGCTTTCAGCTATTGATTGTTGAGGTTGAACAATGCAGTCTCTTTATGATATTTGTTTGTTTGGGCCAATCATCAACTGACTATTTTACATTGTGCTGCACACTAAATTTTAGGGAAGGGCTGGGTTCCAGAATTCAGTGTTTAGAGTCTGTATGTATGAACCCCTATGCAAACATTTTTAAATTTGTGGTCGAGATTTAGATTTTGGGCACCCAAGTGTCCTATGCACCCGTTAGTGCCGAGACTTGCCCTACAGCAGAGACCAAAATTAACTGGATTCATCACAAACTCATATCTAATAAAGGCATTTCCTAAAATGCCCCATGATAACTTTCTACTATCAGACATCCAGTCAAATATGTTCCCTTCTCAAAATATCTGATTTATTTCAACTTCAATACTTTGCTAATTTGCACTCCCCCCCCCCCCCCCCCCAACTTGAAAAGGGGGCTCTTGAACAGGTAAATCATATTCTGTTATATTGATTGGATGGAGTCTTGACGGGTAGGGTAGCATTTCAGGTGATGCATCCAAAACTTTGAATAACTTTGAATATTTTTAAACAAAAGTGAAAAGTCATCAATACAGTGATAGAACCTTATAATTAAAGAACGTTAACATTTTCAGGACAGAGAAAAACATTTTTAACATAAGAGCATTGCTTTTGGCACTACTTTTGCACCTATGAACGAAAGGAATTTTAGCTACAAAAGTAACATCATTTATTTCACCAGAAATAAATTACCATGGTTTTATCACTCAGAGTGTTGGCAACCCCAGCCATACTGAAGAACAGCCATTGGCTGAAGTATGCCACTGTGCTAAAATAAAATAAACAAACAAACAAAAACCCCTCCCTCTCCTCATTTGTGTAAGTTTGAGGTTGCCATAAACCTTGAAATTGACTTGTGTTAATACCAGGAGTTACTCTGACATAACAGGTGAAAGAGAAATCCTTCTTCTGATAAAGACATTGAACAGATTTTCTCCTGCACTAATCCGAAAGAAGATTAAAGCCCACAGATCAGCTAATCTCCATTAATCTTGATATCAAACTTACCGCAGACATGCATTAGTCATCACTATTTCTTATTTCCTCTTAACCCTGCAATGTCTCGGTAGATATTAGAACTGATTTCTTTGGGTAGGAACTAAGAAGGCTTAAATATCATCCAGAAATAAATTCAAATGTAAAGTTTGTAAAATGCATTCAAAAATACTTAATACATTAAAAGGAGAGGTAATATGAAAGTGTAAGTTAGATACTGATAGATATACACACAAAAATGGTAGAAGTATCAAAAGTTACAACTCAAGACCTCTATTAAAGTCAAATTAAAATCATTATTGAGTAGGTACTTCTACTAGCAACCACTGAAATACTAAACCATTTTTTTTTTTGAGGGGGGGGGGGGGTTTCAAATATTTGGGGGTATGAGACACAATGAGGGATACCATGAAAGATATTTGTGTGAGTGTGTGCGAGTATTTGACTTGAAGTGATTAATTCTGTAGTACAGCTTGCAATATCATTCAGTATAGCATGTATTTTTCCTGAGTTGGATTGTGAAAAAGAAAAGAAAAACCAACCCAGGTTGATGGATGATTCCGGTTTCAGCTAACATTGACACCAGGTGCCAAACACTAAATTGAAATAATTTAGAACTACTACTAGACAATCATGAATCTAAAGTAAGGTATAATAGATGATGCATGTTTAAGTGAACACCAACACCAGATGCAAACACTGCATGCTCAAACAGTTCAATTCAAATCGCTTAACACTGTTATAGGTGTAGACACCCTATGTGAAACCACTCTGTGACACGAGTACAGTAGACAGGCAGAAGGATAAGAACTCTGCATTTAAAGGCCAACATACACCTTATGACATGACTACAACTGGATTCTGAAAGAAGTTGAACTAGTATAAGATATGGAATTTGAAGAACATAGTGTCTTTGCGATCGAATAATGATATTGACATTGCATGGTGTTGTGAGTCATCCATCCAAAGAAAATATACGATCAGCATTAAATCGCAGTGCTGTCATAACTGTCACAAAACTAGTTATCGAAGTGGTCGCTGATTTGGCTTTTTTTCTAAAAATGCAAGGCTTAAAATACAATTTAATCTCAAAATAATATGATAATTTGGGACCTTGGTTTGATACAATTTACATTTTTGACTGAGTTCATTTCTAATCCTACTACAGTTCATTCAAAATCCTATAGCAAATGGATAGTTAGGATCGCAGTGGTCCGTTTAGACCTTAAAGGCTATCTGCAGTAGTTTGGTCAGGAGGGATTAAACCTCCCTGCTTGATCACTGACAGGTGGTTATCTCATCTTATCAGCTCTCAATTAAAATAAGAAAAAGGGGGACCATGGGGGACCAATGGTCATTGATTAAGCATTGTTTGCTATATAGAGGGCGCAAGTACATGTAGCTGTAAGTAGTGTAGTGGGGCTTTAAAAGATCTGCTTCAGAACTCTCAAAGCGATGTGTTCTTTGCTAATATGCTTGCTAGAGGGCAGCAAAGCATGTTAGCGTTTGTGTTCACCCAGTGTTAGTATTAATCATCCTACACCAACAGAGGGAAGCATTCATGCAATGCTGAAAAAGGGCTGTGGCTATGCCTCATCCACTTTGTGAAAGTGAACTTGTCTACAGTAAAAGGATGTTCAAATGTAATACATACATGTATGTACTATAAGATCAACAGAAATCTGATGATATATATAATCATATGAAAGATATGTTTTATATTCATAATTGCTTTGAATAAATCACTTATGTTGTATTTTTGTTTCATTTAAAAGTTGTTATTACTACCATGTATTTTCTTTGCTTTATATTTTAAGCTGTATTGTTTTGTTCAAAGCAGAGTTCCCCTGTGAAGTAGGCCCCCTATGTGTAGTTCTGTAGGAGACTACCCTGCTTTTTAAAGAAAACATAATAAATGAGTAAATAGAATAAATAATATTACAGCCTACATTTCTGAATGTCGAAATTTCCAAATTCACAAATTTGTGTAACCCACAGAAAAATAGTTCTGTACAGCTGGTTTTTTAGTGCCTAGAAATCTTCTTTACCATTGGCAGACCCAACTATAAACAAGTAATACCGGCTTCTTTATAATGAACCATCAATGAACAGTTTCATAATAACAAGTAGTTTAGTAGTCTCAAGTAGATTAATCATCAACTCCAAGATCACACTTAAAGACCTGATTCTATGCACTTTCAAGCATTTCACTTAAGTCCTAATGTGAATCAAGAGACATAAGTCCTATAAGGTTTGGCTGAAATTCAAGGATAGCTCAATCTGACCGAAACAAGTCTGACTGTAATAATCAGGTTATTTCGACCATTCTTCTGAAAGAAAAGATTGATATTTTTTGATAGAATGATAAATGTCTTCTGGATGATTAGTTTACTGACCTGTGAGCAGTAACTTCTTGAACTGTGACCCCTCTTTTGTCCTTTGACCCTGCGTACTGGAAGTGATGAGGTCCAATGCTGAAATAAATATCAAAGCAGGAAAGCAGGAAATTATCATTATTGCCATAAAGAAAAAAGACAAAGACATTTCGTATAAAATGTAATGTGTCTGCAAAATTCTACACAGTGTAATTTGTTTTCATAAAGAAAAAAGATGTTTTCTGTAATCAGCTTGCTTTTAGACATTGAAATCTCGGTGATATGATGTTTTTTTAATACAGCAATTTTGCTTTTATCAAGCAAAACATTCAAACAGTGGTATAAATTACTCTTTTTCCTCTTTTCCCCCATCTTTCTTCTTTGTGCTCGATTTATCCTTCTCTTCTTCATCCCTTTCCCCCTCTTTCTTTCTTTTTTTTTAAAGTCTTTTTCCTCAACACGTACTCATTTTCCGGTTTACATAAATAAAATGACACCAGGGGTCACACTTTGACAACTAATATCTTTTATGTTAATGGAAGTTTTATTGTGAATAAATCTAAATAAGAACAAGTGATTGGTTAATTTCTGTGAGAAACTGGCTGCATATTCATATATTTAGAAGTACATTGTAAATGTTACTACTCGATGCATGTATAGGCCTATGCGTAATCATTCTATGCAATTTCCATATTACGAAAACTGATTTTACAAAAATAATGAAAAGCGTTCAGAATAGGGTGCATGTTGCAACTTACTGGAGGTACTTTGCAACAATATTGAGAGCTTCATTGAGATCCATGTTCTCCTTGAAGAGCACAAAGCGACAGTACTTAGGTGTCTCCTTTGGCCATCTACCTCGCTTACCTGGAGAACAAAGACAAAAGAATGAAACAAGTTGACGAGGAGTAGACCATCACTTTGATTTTAAAAAATGGATTGTTAAGTAATGCTCGTCATATGCACCATATTGTATGTAAAACATATCGTTGGTAGGGGCTACCAAACCTGTAACTACTGTATAATAACCTAACAAAACTGTGGCTACCGATCCTTAAGTGGAAACTTAGGTAACCTTAAGATTTCTGCTCCAGTGCCCACCTCCACCACCACCACCAATACCATTTATATACTTTTATGTCCATTTGAGATTATAATGCACATAATGCAAAGGTTTGTTATTAAATATCTTGATGCTTTCCTCTGTAATATACATGTTTATTCAAAACCAGCACACACCAAAAAATTCTCTTTACTCTACTCACAGAATTGCCTACGTGCGTGCAAAGATTCTACAGCAAGAATACTTGCCATGTAGTTGGCTTTTTCAAACTTTTTCAAATAGTTCCACATGGCACTCAAAATACAACAAAATTAGTTACCACATATGGTGGCAGGTCTTATTGTTCATTACACCTCTGAACAAAATAACGATAATTCAAACATACATTTTTTATCCTCGCATGTTACAGAGCTAAAATTATTAGATTTAGTTTCATTACAGACAGCAAAAAGTAACCTTAGAGCAATATAACAGGTCTATAATAATAATGATAATAGTGTAAGCTTATAGAGCGCACACACCTTCCTTGGACGCTCATGGTGCTAGCTTTAATTATGCCCTAACACTTCAAAAATAATATTGAACAAGACATATGACACACCGTCGGCTGATTTGTTCACAAGTCTTAAATGGATGACACTAGACAAGCGGTTTGAGTTAAGTCGCGTTATGATGATATATAAATGCGTTCATAACTTAGCACCCTCTTACCTTCAGGTAGGCTTAATCAATCCTAATGATGTACATGAGCATCATACAAGGCAAATAGACAGTGGATGTTTACGTGTGCCTAGATTTCACACTGATTGTTATAAGTGTAGCCCAATTGTTTCTTCCATATTTGAATGGAATAAGCTAGATAATTCGTTGAGAACGGCTTCCTCTGTCAATTCATTTAAGAGATTGTTTAAACAAAGTTGTAATTTGTGAATGGCTCAGCCGTACATACACTACGTGCATGTTCTGTAATATTTACATGTCTTATTCACATAATTGCGACTTAATTAATATTTTCCTATTGACATTACTGCTTACTAGGTTAATGATATATGTTAATTTTGCAAACGAGTATTATTTTTGTAACTGTTCTGTATAAATGTTATAAACGATGTAAATATGTTCATTCAGGGCCCCATGGAAGACCACTACTTGCTGGTGAATGGGCTACCCTGTCAAAAGATCAGAAATAAATAAATAAAATAAATAAAAAATGCTTGGCAACATCTAAAAGGAAGGAAATCCAAAAGGATGGAAGGATTTTCCCCTCCATCTCAATATCTCTCTCTCACACACACACACAGACCCACACACTTCCAACCTTTTTTTATTTGCTTTCTAGCTTCCTCTTTCCATATCTCATTTACTTTTGTCACTTTTCTACTCTTAATACCTGTCATATTATCTTCATCTTTCACCCTCTCTTTCTCTATTGAACTTCTTTGAACCTACCTCCCTCCTTTTATCTCTCTCTCTCTCTAGTTGTCACCTTCCTCTTTATTCCACCTCCTCCCTATGTTCACCCCACTGTCCACATGTTCCTCCCTCCCTTTCTCTGTTCATCCCTCTCTTCATCCTTTCCTCCTCTCTCCTTCCCTCTCTTCTTTTATTACTCCCCTATTCCTTCCTCTCTCTTCCTTTCCCTCCCTTCTCCCCTTCCCACCCCTTCCTCCCCTCCCACCCCTTCCTCCCTTTATCTCTTCCGAATCTATATAACCAGCTGATTTAATCCACGACTCTCAAGATTTATGGCCTTCTGTCACCCTTCTCACCTGTAAGCAGGATATATGCTCCTTATATCAACAAACCAAACTATCATTAATCCAGCAAAGATTGATGTTTTTGTCTTAGTACACTAATGGAATCGTTTTCATCTTTTGAATCCCCACTTTAATGAGAACTGCAGTTCATTTGACAGATTAGATGCCGTATATATCAATATAACACAGTTCTGTTGTGGCCCAGTGCTCATGAAAGACTATCTTTTGGAATAATAATCAAGCTTTGACTGTTAAACGAAAACACCTTTTTCAGCTTGATATGCAGGGTTCCACTATTGCATCAAATATCCAACAGGGAGCTGATAATCAAATACATGGTAAGTATCAGTTCTGTTACAGGAATTATTATCTGTTATGCACGTTAGAAATTGATTGCTATCACTTTTATTAGTAGGAGTAAGAGTATTGCTTGAAATATTTTAGGTAGAGACGTTGAGTATTAATTTTCCCTTAATTTGATGTATATTTTATTGAAGGTTTATATGACAATTTTGAATGAAGAGTGTTCACTTTCCTTTTTGGGGGGGCCAAGTGTATTAATACCTATGGCATATGCTTCAAAAAGGGGTATTTGGTTTTTGTATTCAGGGAGATTTTAGTGAAGCAAGCGTTCGATTTGAGCGAGCGAAGGGAGTGAGCCATTGCGGGGTACAGTCCAGGGGGCAGACCCTTTGGAGCTCCTGGTTTTTAGCCATTCTGACACCCTTTTTGTGCAAAAAAATTTAATATTTGAATATTTTTACGGTAAATTTGGGGATGATTTATAAGGGATCAGTAATGTTTCTGAGATTCTGCGGCCCAATGGTATTTTCATTGTAATTTAATTGAAAATTTTCAACAAAATATGACCCCTTTTTGCATAAAATTAGGTATCAAATGGGCTCTAATTATAACCTTATTTTTAGCTTATCAAGTACACATTCACAAAATTTTGTACAAATGCATTCATATTTAAATGTTTGCAAAGATCGTGAAAATAAGATATCTACTAGACTAGTTCAAAGAACGTCAACATGAAGTTGCTCACATGTGCGAGGTTACACGTAGATAACATCAAACCCCACATGAAATGATACCACCTGGACTTTTTTTTAATTGTAAGAATCTGGGAGATTGGTGGATTTTCCGGGAGTCTCCCAACAAATCCGGGAGGATTGGCAGCTCTGTCGTTCCCCTTGGATAATAAAAATGTTGAACAATAAAGAGTGTCCACTTTCCTTTATTTTTTTTTGAGTGTATTTATACCTATGACATATATGCATCAAAAAGGGGGATTTTCATTCCCTTAGGTAATAAAAATAATAATTATAAACAATTTAGGTTCACTTCACAGGTACCATCATATTTATTAACGTATCACAAAGGCCAAATCGCTAATGTGAAATGAAAGACGACTCTAAGAAAAGAACCTGGTATTTATAGGACGTAGGTAAGCTTGATATAATAGGCCATGATCAAAGCTTCTTGTTACTTGGGGTTATGTCATTTCAGTGTCAATGAAACCAGGGGTCATACTTTGGCAACTAGTTATCTTTTATGTTAATGGAAGTATTATTTTGTTTTGCTGTTGTTGTGCTACACCGTAGATCAAAATGATATAGTATCAGGAAGAAAAGGAGGTAAGTACATTAAATGTATAATTTCAGTAAAAAGTCAAAAGTTTTTTTGGGGTATGAAAACACAGTTTCAAAAGTATGAACAACAAGTTCTACATTTGCTTTTGCACAGTAACATGAACGGGGTTTGACAGAGACATGAGAAAGGAAATCCTTGCTGTAGTCAGCAAACTATAACATTGGATTCTTAAAGTTGATATTCTAAGACAATCCTAAATATTGAGATAATTACATCAATGGAAAGCTTTTAACCCCCAAAATAACACTAAATGGTGTCCAACTGACAAAAAGAAGTTTAGAATGGTGAATTTATGGGAGTAAACTCTACCAAACTATCTAAGTCTGAAACCCGGAAGTGCATGTAGAGTCACGACGTCACAAACGGGACTCATGGGCTCAGTGAGAGTGAATGGCAGTGATATCCCTACGTAAATGCAATCCTGTCAGAGCTTAGATTTTGTTGTTGTTAATGAGTATATTTGATGGATTTTCTGTTTTTCATTTGAATGAAGAATAACGAAGCAGCATTTTCCAGTCGCTGGTTTCTTTTTATATCCTCATATTCACTTATTTGGTAGAGATTTAAGACGAGTTTACTGCTTGGGAAACAAGGTTAAATCATGCACGTATGAATAGGCGGATGCATTATCTTGTCATCAGATAAGGTACAGGAGCAGTTTTCTAAAACAAATAGGCCTAGAACTATGATAGTACTTATCATAGATGTGTGTGACTGCCTCAAAAAAAGATACAGTACCAGTTAAACATTTTATGTTGTAAAATATCAAACTTCAACGAGATCATGCAAGCGCGCTTCCTCTATAATATTTTGACAACGTCTAGTGTGCGAACGAAATTCATCCGCGAGTGATGCGGCTCTTGCACGAATGTTCGTGAAGCAAGCAGAATCAGGAGGTAAGACCAGTCTGCTGCTCTAGGCGCGGCTTGCTTGTGATGGAACGTACGTGCGGAAGTTATATGTTTATCGGCAATAGCAAGAGAATGAAAGCGACGTTACCAGCTAAGAAAAAAACTAACAAAGACCTGCTCCTCAGTGACTACCGGTGTCAGAATTGGTAGATCGCACAATGCACAGCATGGAAGAAGATGAAGGATCTTCAGGGCCAGGGCCAAGGAAGACAAAAGACATGGGAAAAAGGAAGGAGAAACCATCGGGAGATCGCTGTATGGTAATGAACTATGCATGGGTCCACTTACCAGACGGCTACTGTTCACTCCGTGCCTGGGCTGATTTCAACACCAAAACAAAAATTACATGGTGAAAATATCGACTAATAGCACATCGTTGGCATGTATATGTCATAATTTTTAAAAGGGGAATTGATATTAATACTACAGTGTATGAAATATTAGGGGAAGATAAAGAATTGTACATAGAATTATGTTTTA